TTTGGAGGTATTAGTGACAATTTTCAAACCATTTTGGACAAGTTCAGCGTCAAAAAATTAATTTCAAGGTAATATTGGCAAATTTAAAGTCACTGTGAAGCCATTTTGGATCATTTTGGACAAATTTAAAGTCATTTTAGCCACAACGTGGGTCACTTTAGAGGCTTTTTAGGTAATTCTGGACAAATTTTAATTTATTTAAGACACGTTCAGAGTAAAAAAAAAAAAAAAGCAGCTTTTGCCTTTTTTGGGGGGAAATCACTTCTGCACAGAAGACATCTCTGAGTCTCTCTCCTCCTCCTCCTTCCTGTTGTTCTGCTTCCACTGAGCTGCAGGACTTTAAAGTGAAAAATGCTCCACAGTGAAGAAAAGCTGGAGTTCAGAAGGTTGCTTGTTGTGTTCATTCTGTGGTCAGAAGAGATGAAATAAAAGATAAATTCCAGCTGAACTAAACATCATTCGTGTGCGTGAACATGCTGCGGATCATCTGTGGTGCCTGCATGAGGAGGAGAAGCGGACTGAGATGCTGAAGCGCGTCTGCGTTCATCAGACCTGCTTTGGTTTGGTTTTTCCGTCCCCGTGACGCCCGGACAGGCCGCCGCGTCCTGCCCGGGCTCCGGGGCCTGGTTGGGAGTACCGTGACTCCTGACACGTCCCGGGCCGGTCGTGTTGGCAGAGCCGCACGTGAAACCGGATCTGAGGTGACGATGAGACGCACGAGGGCGCCGCGAGCTCTGAGCGCTGCAGGATGTTGTGGATTATCGTCGCTTTGTTTTCTTCTCGTGCCAAGAGCTTGAAGTGATGGTAAATCTGTGTTTCATGTTTTCTGCTTCACATCACACATCGGGCCTTGAAACATCCATGAATTATGTATTTCTGTTTGACGGTGTGTGCGCGCGCTCACTGGCTGGATGTAAACGAGCTGCATGCGCTGTCGTTGATGTTCGCTGTCGGTGTCACGTGGAATAAAAGCTGCTGTCTCGTTATTTCTGATCAGTGGTGGTGGTTCATGTCAGCATGTACTGCAAAAAAGAAAAAAACCTGCAATAAACAGCATAAAAATACCATAAAATATAGAAAAATGACCATTTATTTTAAAAAAATAAAGTCATTTTCCATTATCCAAAGATATTTTCTAGCCTGAGTTTAACAGATCATGTGTGTGTTTGAGCTGTTTAATGTTTAATGAAGGATATTTACACGTGTGAAAACAATAAAATCACCCATAATATATAAAATAATATCATGTATGAGACATAAATAGACAGATGGCATGATAAATAATAATTATAGTGATTAAAACGTTTTCCTTTTGTTTGTTTTACCTCCTTTTTCCTTACTTTAGCTTTTATTGTTATTATTGTTTAACCTATTTTAATTATCTTCTACATGTTAACTCAGTATTGTCATTTTCCACAATTAAAAAACATTTTCTGACTTTAATTTTACATCAGACTGTTTTTTTTTAGCTGTGTACATGCACTGTACAACGTTTTTTTACTGTAGTTTTTTGCACCCCACCTGCCAGAATATTAGTTTTTGTTGTTGTTGTTGTTTTAAACAGTAAAAAAAACATATATTATTTATTCATTTTTTTACATTGCACTTGGAAATCATACCAAAAAAAAGGTCCTTACATGATCTCATCTGTAAACTGTCTTCACTATCTTCAGTATTTTAGTGGTAACAAATATGTTGCTTAAATAACCTCATTTGATCAGGTAAAGACACTTAACTGCAGAATTCACCTGGAAATTCTCCTGTGACTGAGTTTTCTTCAGTAGCCCAGTGATAGTTGTCTGTACATCAACAGACGTACTGCAAACAGGAGCTGCTAATGGCAAACACAGCATATTTTAATGTTTTAATAAGACTACAAATAAACTCCCATGAATCCACTTTGACAAACTATTGGAAGAAGAATCTCCTCGTTAGCGCAGAACTTGCCTGAGAATTATCCCATTTTTAGATTTTCTTCAGTATCAGAGTAATTCAGTGACAGTTTTATGTACAATCATGGATATATTATAATCAGAAACTATTAACAGTGAATTCGGCAAAAATTTTAATGGTGTAAATTTGCCAAAATGTCAACAAATACAGAAAAAAGACTCACAAGTTGTAGCCCATAGTCTCCATAAAGGAATTACATTTCATCTACATATCATGAGCATGATGACTATTTTCTAGATCCTGTAAGTTGTTTATCTATAAAACAGAGAATAAACATCACAGAGTGTATATACATATACAGTCTATAACAAAGCCTACACATAAGCTTTTAATTAGGCAAAGTCGCTTGACTGCAGAACTTGCCTTGAAATCCGCACATTTTTAACTTTTCTTCGGCATCAGAGTAATTCAGTTACAGACATTTACACATCAATGGGAACATTATAAACAGAACTGGCTAATAGTGAATTCGGCATACTTTTAAATTTGTAAAATTGCCAAAATATGAAAGAATATTGCAAAAAATAAAAAATAAAATAAAATAGGGCACAGGTGGCACCATTCAGCGCCACAAATGGCACCATATCATCCAGCACATAAAATTAAACATTAAAATAGTTAGAAAAATAATATTCTTCCTTAAGTAGAGTTAAAAATGTGGCTGCTTAATGAGGACTTTATGATGTGGCTGGGCTACGTTTTTTCGGACCGCCCTGGCCACACGGTCCGGACCTGCAGCCGGCAGAGGAGGAGGGTCACCGGGGAGGACAGGTGAGACCGGCCACCGGTACTTAGACACCTGCTGTCACTGTTTAGCGGTTCGCTATGAGTCGAAACTACAGAAAAAGTTTCCGACAAACTACGGTCAGTTAGCTTGTTTTCCGTAGAAGAAGAAGAAGAAGAAGAAGAAGAAGAAGAAGAAGAAGAAGAAGAAGAGCTGTTTACAACCAAAGAAGAAGAAGAGCTAGCTTGTTTAGGCGATGCTAACGGATTAGCTCAGCGATTAGCTGTTAGCTTAGCCAAAGAAAAGCAGGATTTCTGTCAAAAAACACACAAAGAAACCAACGAAAAGACCCACAACTGATGCAAGGAGACATTACGGAGAACTTTACTCTACGAGGGAAAAGAAAATGGACTTTTAACAACGTGAGTCACTTTATTTTTACGTCTTTCTGTGCGTTTACCGGCTTCTTTCCAGCTAATTTAACGTCCCTGAGTCTATTTAAATCTTCTGTTTTGTTCTTGTTGGATTTTCTGCTCTTTATTTGCTGTTTATTGAGGTTATTTTATAGGTTGCACACTGCTGGCTGTGTTTGGTGTCATTTAGACTGTATATATGAGGGTTTAAGTTCTGTATCTGAATTAGCAATTTTAATTTTTGACATTTAGATCCGTGAATGTTTTCAGTTTGTGCAACCTTTAAAATACTCATTATTAAGTCTGCACGGCCAGTTAGTCTGCTCTCATTAATCTCTCAGTGATATGGCAAACGCTTAATATTCAGAACAACAGAACCTGGCTGAGAATCTTAATATTTTTAGTTTTTATTCACTTATCTGTGAGTCTGTGGATGCAAACAGGAGCTATTAATACCACATTCTGCTTATTTTATTGGAGTAAGTTACCCATAAGATTACGAATAAACTCCCATAAATCCACTTTGAAACTACTGTATAAAGACTGATTTTTACCACAGAACCTGCCTGAAACGCATCACATTTTTACATCTGCAGACAGAAGCTGCTCCTAGATATTTCAGCTGCTTTTGGTGATGCACATTTTGCCAAAATCTCAACAAATATGGGAATAAACACTGATGACAGTCTGCAGTGTACATGCCAACATCATGCTGATTTCTTGGTAAATTAATAATTAGTTTTACCTGTAAAATAGTCAAAAACATCAACAATTGAGTAAAATACTCAAAGAAAAAATATCCAACAATGTGCCAGAACTTCACAATATGTCAATCTTATTCTGGTTTTTAGTGTTTCGAGTCATTTTTGACATAAAGTCAAACATTTTTTGGATATTTTACCAAAAATAAATGTGTTCAAGATATTTATTTTGACATCCACTGATTAAATGGATGAACAAATGTCAAAATCTAACTTTATTTTTTACATAAAATTAAAAAATCTTTATATTTGAAGTATTGTCTATCAGATTTGTTTGATTTATGTCCTCCAAATGCCTTTAAATGACTAGTGGTGGAGCTAAAGGAAGTTTTCTGGTGAACTGTTTGTTCTGCACACGGCCACAAGGAGGCGCTGTTGGTCCGTCTGAGTTTCCTCCAGTCGTCTCCCTCCCTTCCATCCAGTAATGAAATTAGAGGTGCTGCCGGTGTTGGTGGGGGGCTATCGAGCCGAGATGACTCACCGCTTCTCCAAAATACCAGCAGGTCATGCATGAAAGTTCAACTTAAAGATGAGAGTCAAAGTCGGTTAAGTGCCAGGAGCGTCTGATGCCGGCCGGTGTTTCTTCACAGCGGCTTTATGAGAGATGAAAGCAGCCGTCTAAAGCCAAACACTGGTCGGAGACGCCGTGTGGATGGCTGAGCACGAACCTCAGAGACACGGAGATAAAGCGGCATCGCGGCCGGCTTCGCCAGCTTTCTCTCTGCGTTAAACTCTCACAAACCCGAGTGTGCCGCGGCTGCAAATTGAGCCTCGGGTGGGAAAGAAACACACTTCTGAAGAACAAAACAAGTTAGTTTTAATGCAGCAGCGATCCTGTGAGCGCACAGCGAGCAGGATTACGTGGTTTCTCATTATCCGGGGAGGGAGGCAGGATTATTTCTGATTCTAAATTTCAACATCAAATATTTAAATAACGGCGGTTTGTGTGCGCCACAGGTTACAGATTAGATGCGAGTCTTTGTTATTGTCGCTGTTATTTTGTTTACAGCTTCACTCGGCGTCTCGGTGAAGATGTAGAGGTGTGATGTGAGCTGTGGGTCCAGGACCAGGCAGCAGGCCGTCAGTTTGTCATATTACCATCATCCTGCTAATTAGCGATTCCAGTCCTGCTGCTTGATTTGAATCATGATTCCATTAAGCTTTTAGACATTTTTAGCTATTCAGGGAAAGGTTAGGTGTCAGTAGTATCAGATGATTTTGAGGCGATACCGACACCGTTTACAGCTCCGGTGAGACTTTATGATCTGGCTGCACCCCGATGATTTCACCCTGAATATTCCTTTGTTATCGCCGTCCTCACACTTATTACACGTAATTCGTCTGTTTTTAATGATGCAGATTTGCCAAAATGTCAACACCAGTGTGCAGCGTGCACGCCGGCATCACGCTGGCTTCTTATTAAGTTGTTTTACCTGTAAAATACCAACAAATTAAGTACAATTCCCACAGAGGAATGTCAACAAATGTCCCAAAACTTCACATTCAGTCCATCTTGTTCTGGTTTCTATTGTTTAGTTCACAGTTTTATTAATAATGTTGACAAAACAACAAACGGATTTCAGGAGTTCTGGTGCAGCTGACTGGAAAAAACTATAAAAAAGTGTTCCAGATATTCAGTTTGACTTAAATCATGGACAAATAAATGTAAATAAAACCAGAAATTTGTCTAAAATCTGCTGGAGGCGACCAAATCGGAGCTAAAAGTCAGAATTCATTCATAAACGATGTCTGTCTGGATCCAACCTGGAACTTCTTGAATGGATTGTTGATGACTTCGTTCGTCAGCGTTTTGGTCTAAAATGTCAGAAAATGTGCGTCAGAGTTTCCTTAAAATGTCCAAAGATGTTCAGTTTACTGTCACAGAGGAAAGAAACCAGAAAATATTCACATTTAAGAGGCTGCAAACACAGAATTTAGCCTGAATTTGTTGGAATATTACTCAAAGTGACTCGTAGGGCTGCAACCAACAATTATTTTCACCGTCGTATTTTGGTATATAATTAAACATTTTGGTCATTTTTTCTTTTTTAAAGCCTCATATTTGCAGATTACAGCATCTGAACAGAGAATATTTCCTACTTTTCTTCATCTTATTGC